GAAAGAAATTTATTATTAAGTCATCTGCAGGCATTATGTATTGATATTTATTGCTTACAGGTTCATAACCTTCGCGAAAATGGCTTCCAATAGGAAATTAAATGATCGTAAATTGAATAAAAACCACTGGCAAGTCACGAGTTGTTTTTGATTTCAGTAGCAAACAGTTTAAAAGGATGTCATTAAGTAATTATTTCTTACATGCTCCTCACGCGTTCCTGTATTAAAATCAATTGAACGTATTTACTGTCCTTCAATTTCAGAGCATAAAGATAGATCTTAAACAAACAGGATCGTAGTTCATTATAATTAAGAGAACGTAATTGATGTTGTCCGACGAGTTTCCGCCGATAAACAACAATCCTGCTTGGTTAGTTTTGTTGTATAAACATTTGTACATAACAAAAGGGAGGTTAAACGTTGTGGTTTACAGCTTCATAGAACAGAGCCTTTTATGAAACCCGAAGTGTTATTATTGTGAAGATGGCAGTCTTCCAGGATGTAGCACCGTGTAGTCTGGTAGGTACTGGCCCAATTATCGTAGGAGCTTACAGCCTCCATCATCACGGGAGGCGTGGCAAGCGTAAGCCTCAACTAGCTGGCTAACAGCGCCTGGAGGTGACTAAAGATGCACTATATCTAATTGGCTCAGCTGTGTTGCACTGAGCCACAAAATTAAGACAGAAAAATCATTTTTCGTTTTTCTTAGTTTTATATCGGCCAACATGCACAAATATATCTTCAATGTTTTTTATAATAATATTATGGATTCTTACATAACTTATCAAGCGGTAACATTTTAACACATCAACAAGTTAGGACATTTACGTTGTTCTCTCCAACTTCTGTTCTTATAACATTTCGCTCCAGTAGCCTACACGTTTTTCATGTAGATCTTCGTGTGATATGTTCGTTTTTGCCGATAAATTTCAATAAAACTCTCCATCATCAAAGTTAATAAAAATCCGTCCAGCGATTTTTCAGTTGTTCCATGGTAACAGAAGGACAGACAGATAGACAATGGAGCAAATAAGCACGTTTTAGCATCTTTCTTTTTTGCCAATATGATATTACGAACTGAAACTCGAATGATAAGAAAATATTTTTCCTAACGTAACAAAAATGTCATAAAGTTTACGTCGCTTTGTTTGGTGTAAAGATAGAATCAAGATTCCAGTTCATATATAATTTGTA